GGGGGGTTGGACTGGATGTTCTCCTGAGGTCCCTTCCAACCCCAGATATTCTGTGATCCTGTGATAATGGTTGAGACCACACGTCCATCTCAGCTGGTATCTCGCCATTTCACCATCTCCAAACACGGCAACATTTTTCTCCTCTTGCCTGACCAATTCCAACCTGTCGCTAAGGTGTGTGCAGACCTTGGGATGGTTCCTTGTTCCGTTCCAGTCGCTGCAGCACTCACCTGCCAAGGCCGTTGCTGCAGACGGACACTCGGTGCCATCTCATAAACCACCCCAGCTTTGCTCTCACCACGCGCAGACGACGGCGAGGCGGGTGTTTCATGAGCTTTCTCTGGTCTCTTCCAGATGAATTAATGACAGAGCTGAAGTAACCAGCATGGCAGAGGGTGATGGTTCAGCAAGGCACTGCAGGCTGCGCTGAATAGTGCTTCAATTTTTACTATCTTAGGGTTTGGTTTTTTTACTATCATCTTTTTACTTTTACTATCTTTACTACTTAGACCTAAAAGAATCTTCCCATGGGAGTGTTCTGTGTGTAAAGTAAGAGACAGCCCGTGGCATGCAAGAAAACAGGAAAAGTTATACTTAATACGAAATGGATTATGCATATAACAGGTGAATTTTATAATGATAGCCCTGCTGTAACTATTTCCCACCATCAGTTAGCTAATGATTATCTAACGGTTTTGTCTCGAAATGGCAGATAACACCATTCTGTGTCAGATACAAGAGTAACCAGGTTACAGGGCAAACCAGAGTGAACAGAACTGCGCTAAGGAATCCTTCACACCATTTACCTCTCACTCCAGACGGTAACATCCTGCAGTGGTCCCTGAGCACTGACTGAGCATTCTGCCTTTGCTGTAGCAGAGGATGTTGGTTTTGTTTGGGGTTTTTTTGGTCTGTTGCTGTCGAAAGCACCATGCTGTGCAGATTCAAAGAGATCACATGAAATGGTTTAATATTCTAGGAGACAAGAAGCTAAAATAAAATTTGATGCTGTATCTTCCCCATCGTGTAACTGGGAAGGAAAGGTAACAGCAGGGTGAGTCGGGGTCTGGCCACAAGAGCTGGGTGGGAACCGCAGCACCTGCCCCTTGGTGTCCTCACTGCAAACCGGGTTCCTGAGCTCTGTGCGGGAGCACAGACATAGGCACTTGTCACAGGGCACCTCCCTTGTCACAACCGTCACCTCACAGACCTGCTGAGTAACCAGTTGGTTTGACCAAGAGTCTCTCAGGCTTCAAGGGGTGGAAGCAGCATGTGCAGCACAGACAGGAGGGGCCAAAGCAGCATTTATACGGGTGGTTACACTGCGATGGGCTTGGGGACCAGTTCCTCCAGGCACAGCACTGCAGGTGACTCTGACGTACCCGAACCAGCGTCTCCAAATGTGTTTCCTGTGCTGCTGTGCACAGGGGCTGGGGGGAGCCGACTCTCTGCTTAGGAACACGCAGGGGTGGCAAAAACAAACCCTAAGGCAGGTACCGAGTTCCTCATCTCATCGCTGCCCCCACAGCTGGGACCACTGTCCTGTGTCCAAACCCTCAGCTTCTCTTAGCCCATTTTAAAGAAGTCAAAAGAAAAACCAGCCAGAAGCCTCACATACTTGAAACAACTTAATTTATTAGAACCCATAAATTTTGCTTTCATTAGAAGAATCAAGTTAACACCTAATTCTGGGTGAAATTACATTTTAAGACAAACAAAAAAAGCTCTAGTGCTTAAATACAGTATTTACTGAAGGCTGCTATTCTTAGAATCCTGGTACAAGTCTACACTGACTGGCTGGGATTAGTACGGCATCTAATTCTGAGCAGATTCAGCATTTTATTTTCAACTGAAAGTACATCACACCATGCAAAGGGCTATTCCCCCATCTGCCTCCCACATGTATGGAATGAAGAGCTGAAGCCTTAAAGAAAGAAAAAAACAAAACAAAACCAAACCCTTGAGATTGCCAGAATCAGAAATGTTTATTTCTTGTATATTCACCAATGATTGGCAGAAGATGCCTGTAGCCAAAATAAAATAAAATGAAATAAAATAGTGTGACTATTGCAATTTATTTAAGAGATTCACTGAATTGGCATCGAGCAAACCTTAACCATGACTTCAGATTGGAACCTGAGTACAGAGAGAAAGTACAATCACCCATGTCACTGGCCCTACAGTTTCTTTTCACAGTAGCCCTTTTGGAGAAGCAGGCTGGGTTCATAACCGTGATTTCCACTACTGCAGATCAACGGAATCACTGCCGTCGAATTCAGAAAGTGCTTGAACACAGAATACAAAAAACATCCAACTTACAAACCTCCCGCTATAGAAAATCAAAACATGGAACGTGGCAGATGGTGAGAGATCTGTGTCAAAGCATTAAACTGGAAATGAACTGGAGTGGCTGCGACACGGGACGGACGCTCTGGAGCCCGTGAACCAGAGCGCAGAACACACTGACCCAGGGCAGGGGCTGCTCCTTCCATCGCTGCAGACCCGGCTGTTGCTCACTAACACACTTGTTCTCTGTAACACGGACACAAAGGTTTCCTACAAGCTGTGCTGAATTATTTATATAACCTTTTAAAATAAGCGATTAGTTACACAACTTCTCCAGGATGTATCAAATCACTAAAACTCTAATATTGCCAGTTTCCAGACACAAGATTTGGTCACTGGATCCGAGAATCACACTGGTACTCGCTTCCCAGGGCTGGCAGAGCCGTTCTTTCCTCAGTTACATTAAGGAAGGAGCAGTTTTTTAAACATTGAGTTTTGATTCTCAGCAGAGAGCTGAGCTGCAACATCCAACCCCACAGCACCGGTGAGGAAAGCAGGAGGGTTTTGCTCACAGGGGTATTACTGTAGAAAAGGAGTCCTTTGGCTGTGCATTGTTTCCACAGTGTATTTGTTACATCAGATACAAACTGTACAAGTTCTCCAGTTTACAAAGTTTTCTCATTGCAGAAACAAGTCAGCCCCTATTTATAGTGTCGGGTTTAAATGTCGAGGTTATTACAGGTAAGGTCCAGTCTAAGTCATCGGCTCCATGGAACAACAAAAAGGTGGTTTAATACAGTTTGCAATAGTACAACTATGTACATATGTACAGAACCGGCTCCTTCTGGCACCTGGAGGACACTCACTCGTCACTCTTCGTTATCAGCTTCTGCTAAATCAGAAATGCTGAAGTGAAATGGTTCAGTTCCTCAGCACTTCACCTTCCCCCGTGGAGATTCTTCTCGTCCACGTTTCCAGCTTCATCCCGGCCCTAAAGGACACCGTCGCTGAAGCGCGGCTTGCCGTAATCAACCAGGTCATTCTGCAGATCTCTTTCTTCATCATCTGCAATTAAAATACTCGGATCAAATCTGATGTGACACTACTGAAAAACTGTTTAACCACACGTTTAAACAGACACCCCCCCGGAACCGGCCGCCTCTGGTGACGGGAACAAAGTCAGCGGGGAAGGTCCGGCGAGCGCAGACGGGGCTGCGATACGGGTCCAGCTGTCAGCACTGGGAGTCCCTCGTGAAGAACTGGGACTTCACACTAGTCAGTGTCTTTGGCTTTATTGCAACCACATTTCAGAGATTTATTGATTTAAAAGACTGCAGAACTAGTTAAATTTGCTGCTGAAATTTGAGAATCTTCCTTCGAAGGTTTCAAACTCTCCCCCTGAAACCCAAGTACAAAGCTCACTAGGTCAGAAAGCTACATTTGCTGGTTTTAACCCATTCTGGGGTTAAGACAGCATAAGATTTTCCAAGGGCTGGGTAATCCATGGGATGGGCACAGAGGAGTCAGTCTGACCCCCTCCAGACTGAGGTCACACTGATTCCACCTGCTTCTCAGACTGGAGAAGTGATCCCTCCTCACAAACCCAGCACCGCAGGTTGTTCAGCGACGAGATTTTCCCTTATGCTGGAGCTGACTCTGCCGTCAACGCTC